ATCTCTCTCTTACCAACAATTGGTAAAGTCTTTGAGAGACTAATTCTTTCACGCTTGTGCTCGTTTGAAGAGGACAACAACATCTTTATCAAACAGCAATTCGGTTTCAAATCAAGACACTCAACGACACAGCAAGTACTCAGAATATCTGAAAAGGCTGCAGTCGGTTTTAATCGCAATAAAAGTTTAGGTCTAGTACTTTTAGACCTGCGAAAAGCTTACGATGCTGTTTGGCACCAAGCTCTCCTTTTCAAGTTAAGCAAATTTAACTACCCGTTATATCTCATCAAACTTATTGCTTCATTCCTCCAAGACAGAACAGCGTTTGTGTCTTTGAATAAATCCCGTTCCTTCATTTTTAAGATTCTTGCTGGAGTTCCACAAGGATCAGTAATAGCACCTCATCTGTTCAATTTATTTATCAACGATATCCCTCAACCAGATGTAGGCGAATTGGCATTGTTTGCTGACGATACTGCCTACTTTATAGAGGCAGACTCTTGTGAATTTTCTCTTATTAAACAAAGCTTGATATCTGCTGTAAAATCCTTCCAATCCTTCTTTCAAGACTGGAAAATTGCTTTAAACGATAACAAAACTGAATTCATTATATTCTCAAGATCATCAAAAATGATCCAGAAATGTCAGACTAATCAAATAGCAGTTAACAACTTATCATTTAATTGGAAATCTCATGTTCGTTATCTAGGAGTTCATCTAGACCAGAAACTAATTTTTAAACATCACATAGATGTTGTCTTAAGTAAAGCTAAAGGTTTAGCTTACTCAACAATATATCCACTATTAAAAAGAAACTCGGGAGTGTCTTCTGATTCAAAACTCAGGATATACAAATCCATTCTACGTCCAATAATAACCTATGCTTGTCCGATTTTTATTAATTGTGCAAAAACTCATCTCAATAAACTCCAAATTTTCCAAAATAAGCTACTAAGACAAATATATGAAATCAAATGGGATGACTTCATCTCAAATGAAGTAATTCACTCTCAGGCCAAAATCCCCACTATTAAAGAATTCACACTCAAACTGACCAGAAAATTCTACTCAAATTGCGCATCACACAGTAACGATTTAATCTCCAATCTGGGACAATATGAATATGACTCTTTAGACTTTCGTTTGAAGCACAGACTTCCAAAACCTCTATCCTCCTAAAGGTCAGGTTTTCTCTTTTTTTTTACTTTATCTTTTATATATAAAATTAATATAATTTTCATGTAGGATTTTTTTCCCCTTTTTTTTATCCGAAATTCCTATCATCTTATTCAAAAAGTCACGAATTATACAATTAAGAATCATTTTAAGTTTAAATTGAAACCGAATAGGTTGGTGTTAAAATAGAAAATTATATAATGTTAAATCAAAATATTAAGAATTTCACAATAAAAACAGATATTATTATCATACAGTCTGATCAAAGCATCGAGTTCCCATTTGCCTATTTGAATCTTATGAGTCTTGGAAGTATTTTGCAATCACCACAAAAAACACCAGATGATTTATAATCTCTGCATGTTTACAGACAGAAAAAAAATTGTAAACTTTTTATTAATGCGAATGTTGAAAACTACAATCATTCAGTTCAAGTGTGCTGGTTTTCTGCAGATTCATTAGATATTTCAATGTTATTTTTTTACACTGTATCATTTTACAAGTTTTTCGGGGAGTCTATCACTTATGACGTACAGTTTAGGGGGTTTGGAACTCAGAGGTTGGCTTTTTAGGTTCAATCTAGTCATACTGAAGTCTATGGATGTTTACTAGTGATTGTATAGCCTTAAAAAGGTGTATTATAAGAAAACCGGCTTTCCTGGATGACACTTCAAACAAATACATTAATAGATTTGGAACTAATGAAGAAGTGTCTCGAAAAATCGTATTTTTGGAAGACGTAACTTCAAAACTACCCCTTCGAGATAAAAGCTTTTGATTATCACTTATTACAGTTGTTACGAAAGTGTTAAAGAAATTTACATGGAAAAAATATCACTTTTTGTAGCTTACTGCTTGTATATTGTTAATGAAGCTAGGTATGGATTAGTACAATAGACGCCATACGTATTAAAATATCCATACAACAACACAATATTAATTTTCATCATCGCATCGTATGATGCACTATAAAATTCACTTTATTCCTCCAACTTTCTTCGACTTCCTCTAAAAATAAACAATATGTAAATTTCATTTTTTCATCATTTCTTTTCTTTCTTCTTCCATTCAAACATTCACGCACGCACCAATCCAAAGACAGATGTAAATGTATGTAATTTGAAGTCAGTTTGTGAGCCACAACTGATTTCTTTAACATGCAGAAAATTTTTTTTATATCTTTTCTCGTTAAAAATAGCTGTCAGATCTATGCGGCCAAGCATAGTACAATGCAGATGCTTTAAAACATCATAAATTACAGTGAAAATGTGAAAATCGCTTCCGTTTATGAGTAAAAATTATTTAATTATCAACAATCTTGTTGATGATGCTTCTTGTTGTCGAGGAGCATATGGATGATCATGATTGATTTCTATCTATACAGAAAATAAATGATTCTCAACAATTTTCGTCTTTCCCGTGTATCTCGTTACATAAAAACTATGTATGAGAATAAAAGGAACAACATAAAATTTCTTTATATCCACTTAAGGCATCTAATGCATATGGCACGTATGAATTAACAACATAATAGCGACAGTTGTCTACGCACACATGTTTGAGGATCCATCCGTGAAATGTGAAATATTCTCTGTTTTGTTTTTTTTTCTGGAGGAAGTTGTTATTAAGTAGTTGTTCATACATTTCTAAAAATATCATCTGAGTGCAGGTGGTGCATTCTTTCCATTCATGTTAAATCTTGCTTGTAGAAATTATGAACTTGAAATACAGTACGTATGAGAAATGGAAGAGAAAGCAAACAAGGATAGAATTTTATTTTCATAATGTTGAATTAACATTGAATAAAATAATATTATTGCTACCTGACTTGCATAAAATGCAACTTTATGGATATTTTATGGTGCTTTGTTCTGGGAAAGAGAGAGTTGTGGAATGAATTGGAATTGATTCTTTCGTTCAAGATCAGTAGAATGGTTATGTTCTTGGCCAAATATCGAACTTGCAAACCTTTTTGTCCTTACAAGAAACCTTACATAAATTACTTCTTAATTCCAAACTTAAAACCAACAAAATGTGTTAATTGCTCTGTTTATGCACACCAAAGATTTCCTGGTACAAAATTTAAAACAAATGTTGATATTAAACTTTTAACTCAAGATAAAGGCACCACACGAGGCGTATAAAAATATCGTGTTATCAAAATAATGATAAGTCATATGATACCTAAATCGCAAATCTGTTTATGGATTTTAAAAGTTTTGAAATCATTGCTTTGGAATTAAACATCATTTTGACTAGTGTGCCACAAAAGAAACTTCAAAGATTCCGTAAATTTTAGTGAAACCATGCAGATCCATTAATCATCAATCTATCTACCCACTCATTTTTAAGGCACATGAAGTCATTAAGACTACTGCAGCGTCAATAAGTTATTTTTAAAAACAGCTGTGCTGATGCCCATATGCTGTAATTTGATGCTGCACTGGAATGAGCAATTTTTTTTTTCGTCAAGTTTCGAATTTAAAAACCTCTGAACTCTTTGTTGCTGTCTATATTTGGGCTGTTCATTTGTATTGTGCAATTGAGATGCATTTGATATTTGGAGTTGGATTAGATCTGTCATTTAAATGTTTGAAATTTTTTCAAGTATTAGAGGAATAGGATATTTTAGCTTTTATAACTATCTTCATCGTTTGCTTAGAATTAACCTAGATTCAAACTAGTTTTAAAGCTAGAGCAGGATTATCACAAAACCAGCTTCTTATGATACATTCGAAAATATTCTCGTATTCTGTATCTTCTAAATTCAAGTGTGTGTAAGCACAAACTCGAGAACATAAACTCGTAATCAACATCAACTTAATCCACATACTAATGACTCAATAGCTCTATCACATAAATTTCAAGTGGCTTATCGTCAACAACTATCATGCCAATATAAATTACGTGGTTGTGCTGCCAACAAGTTGCTTTTGATGTTTCTAGAGTTGCACAAACAAATTTGCAGAAGATCTCGTAAGAACTTTATGGATTACGCCGTATAATCCTAATTAAAAAGATTAGTCAATGCCTGGATTATATGAAATTGCAAATATTCTTTTAATTGAATAATAAATTATAGTTTCGACCTTCAGCATTGCTTGCGAACATCTTTATATGTAAGCGAATAATAATAATTCTAAAGCTAGTTTCAAGGAAGAAGAAGAAGACAAAAGATCACAAAAAGTCATTCTCTGTGTGAAATTCAAAGAATTAATTTATTTGAGAACTTGTTGCCACAAAAAATTATCACAAGGCATCCAGTAATAAAAAATTCTGTTTGCAAAGTGTGTCATGTAGAACAACTAATACATCAGATAAGATTGACGATAAATTAAAAATTTTATTTTGAAAAATGAGATACTTTTGAGCCTCAATTTCATGTTCGAAGCGATGACGGAATTAAATAATTTTTTAATAACTGCCAGCGACTATTCATGGAGAGTTACAAACAAAAGCATTGAAAAATCAAGCGACGATTAGAAAATAAAAGTTTCGAAAAGCCAAATAATAAAGCGTGAAAATAAAATCAATCAATTAGTGCAAAATTCACACAATCACTTACCTACTTCATTAAATTTACAGTGCGTTAAATTTATAACCAAAAGCTACATTCTCTTTAATTACGTTTGTTCGCTCGCTTATTTTTCTTGCTTGCTTACTTGCTTAATGAAGATGATTGCCGCACTTTTATTAATACTTTACCTGACTATTATTGCTATTAAATATTTAAATACTCTTTTGATGCTCACAAAATAAAATTTCTAACCTAAAAATAATAATAATTTTTATAGAAAAAAAACTTTCAAAATTTTCTCTGACCCATGCAAATGACACCGTCACCAGAGGTTAGTAGTCGTGCATCAATTTCATCATCAACGCCAAACGGCAAAGTTCAAAGACCATCATTTTTGCTATCAGTTAATGGTCCATCGGAAGATTCACCAGACGAACCAAGCACTCCACCAGGTAAGAGATTTATTATATTAAATTAAACAGCTGATAAGATCTGTTTATAATGTAGCTGTGTGAAGCTACTTCCGCATACCTTTTTTGCACTGTGAATTTATACAAATGTCAAATATTTCATTGAAAAAAAAAGTTGCTTTTATAATTAATAGTGGAAATGTTTGACGCAGCTTTAATCATTTGGGGAGGCTTACTTTTGTCGTTTTGGGGACTGTTTGATTTTGTTGCTGAGTTTTTGTAGTGCTGCGGTTCTCAATACTTTTACTTAAAAGAGTTATAAGTAATCATTCATGGGACTCTAACCCACAATCCATTAATAACCAGTTTAAAGTTCATGCAGCTACCGTCAAGCTTATAAACTATTAATATTTCTTGATTGACTTGACTAAATACTTAACACTATAATCTTCTCATGCAACTAAATGAAAAATATACATTTAAGTAATACGAACCCTAATTCGAGCAGATCTAATTTCTCAGAGTAATATTCATTTGAGTAGCGTTTCATAATAATCAAAAATGAGTATATCCAATTTTTCCTTCAATTCCAATGTAAAACGTGGATGTCATACGCTTAATCATATGATAATTCCCTACAACATTAATACTTGTGCTTAATATCTAAAAAATAAATTTTTTGACTATTCTTGAAGTTTATCAACCATGATTACCAAAGTTTTCCATGGAACTCTGTAGATTCTCTTTTGACTGCTATTGTCAAATTTAAATAGAATCAAATGTGCTACTTAATATTAAGTGGTAAATACCTCATAAGTAGTCGTTAATTGAACTTTCAAAAAATCCGAGACTGTTTAATAATTTGAACTGTACCTGGACACAGTAATTATGCTTTGTAATGTTCAATTAACTCAAAGAAGCTACATTTGTGTCATTTAACCATAATAGGTTTATTTTGAACTTTGACGCCTAATTGCTGGCAATTTCTAATCCCACAAAACATTTAAACTCTCAAACTTAATTTGCATAAAATGAGCTCTGCCTATGAATCTCCCATTAAAGGCTTAAAATATGAAAAATGCGCTAAAATCATCCTCTATTCATAAATACTTTTTAAAAATTTCTTTTATAATCTCCTCATTTTATTTTCACTCGATCTAACAATAATAATCTATGCTAGCGGTGGTGTGCAAAGTGAGAGTGAATATCAGACAAACAATTTTTTTAAAGCTTGTTAATCGATGCGAAACAATTTTTTTATATTTAAAATAATTTAAATTACCGATGAAATTTTCATTACTGTTCATTTTGTTTGGACAAATACACGAATGAGGATGAAAAGAGATGGAGATACACAAAAATAAAATAAATTTTTCAGATACTTACATACATATGCATGAAAATAAACTTTTAGTCGTGACTGCTGTATCAATTCTATTATTTGTACAAATGCAGCCTTGAACCAAATTGCAGTTAAGCACTTGAAGAAAATAAAATTTGTGTTTTAAGTTTTTCAATTCTATTGAAAAAAATGTCATTATTTTGTGTAAAATTTTTATCAAATGCCAATGAAATTTGACAACTTTATCTCATTTCCTTTTTACAGACAAATCAAAGTCATCGCAATGTTCGTCACTTTCAGATGGTGAATCATTTGAATGTTTTGGTGAAAATGATCATATGTCGTCGAATATAGATAACAGTACTGGAACAATAGTAGTTGACACCGGAGTCGACATAGATCAAGCTCCGCAAATTCATAAGTATGACACATCAATGTTACGTTAATTGAATAATTTGTGACTATTAAGTTCTATTAAATTACAGCGATACAGAAAGAAATTCTATTGCACGACATACGTGGGCTAGGACTAGCTTAAGAGGATTACGTGGAAGGTTAGTAATCGAAAGAAAAATATGTGTATACACTTGTGCTGACGTATATCACAAAAAAGCTGACTTGACATCACGTAAATTGAAATTCAATTTTTATATTTTGTTTTGAATTTATAAACTACATGTCAGTGTTGCGCAAGCTTTATTTCGTGGTTCACTAGAGCCAGTGAGTGATTGATTTGTTCTACTTAAGTCAAGTAGTTGCATTAAATGTCTAATAATTAAATTAAAGAAAAACTTTTGATGTTTTCTTCTTGATTCTTCAAAGAAGAATGAAATATTTGTGAAAAGTAAACAAAAAGGAACAACAAAGAAATAGTTCTGAAAGAATAGTTTATTAGTAACAGTTTAAAAAGCACTGAACATGTTAACAACTCATACTTCAGTCAGTTCCGCTACTATTGATTGAAATATTCACCCCGAAAGAAAAAGAAAATTTATTGATTTCGTATAAACAAATTACTTTTATAGGCAGCAACTATATAATTTGTGCAATAATATGCATAACACTTTTCATAGCTTATGCATCTTCTTCCTCTTCTATTGACTACCTATAAGTATGATTATTCGTTACCTAAAGGCAACAAAATTGTTGTGAATCATATGGAAATATTTATTGTTGTGTACTTGTATAAGTCAAATACCTCACAATGATTACATAAATTGTACGAGCGATTAGACTTAGTTGTTCATAATTGACAAAAAAAAGAGTCACTTTCATGTCGATTATTATTAGTATTATATACACATCTGTTTATTATGATGATGAATGCAAAGAAAAAGCTACAAAATTATAAAGCACGATCCATTCGTGACATAAATGACGCGAATAAATAAGATAGAGAGAAATTTGTAGCGATATTAAGCTACATCTATTTTTATGTGTATCACTGACCAAATAATAATAATATACACCTAACCTTGCAGCTTACTACATTTTCTCTTAATTCACTTTTCATTTTTTTTTATTCCGAATATAAAATGTGAACTTCCATCAATAGCGTAATTACGGAACAAAATAAATAATTGGATTTATTCTTTCTTTCTTTTCTTTCGCATTCATTTTCACATTTTTCAAATATGAATAATCTCTTTTTTGTTGCATTTCTTTTACACAGTATGAAACGTCCACTTCCAATGTCATCAAATGCTTTAGCAAAGTAAGTAAAGAAATTCATATTTAATTTTTCATATTTTTTTGCCTCATTTCGTGCCCGAGTGACAAATTTTTGGATGATTTCTGGTTTACACTTAAGCTTATGAAGGATTAGAAGTCAATGAGATTTAAAAGGTTTTATAGGCTCATTTAAAAACTATTTCGCTCTTTAAAGTTTCAAACTTAAATTTACAAATTTATGGAATCAAAAAATTGTTTCAAACAAGCTTTAATCTTTGAAAAAAGTTTTTTAATCTATGTAAAAAAATATCACAAGCTATTAAAAATACAGAAAGATACTCAAAAGCAATCTTCACCAGACAAATGTATTCGAGGTATTTAAGCAATTCTTTTATTCACTAGATTTTTTCCCAGAAGATATTTAAAAAAAAAATTCAAGTGATACTCATCCAAACAATAAAGATTTTGACTGGTTAATAAAATATTGCTCGGGCTTGTGACGGTGAATGACTTCACATGTTATTAGTTTTGCATACTGATGAGTCTCGTTGTTTCATACGAGATTTGTGGACAATAGGCAGAAATTTTTGTTGAATGGTGGAAAACAATAAAAATATCTTGTGTTTGTCCGATTGTCATTCCAATAAAAAAAGTTCAGACTCTTTCTATTCATATATACAAAAAAAAAAGATATTTTCAGTCATTCGTTTGTCGTTGAAGCATATCATGTGATATTTTTTTTTTGAATTCTGTTAAATAACAATAGCATTAACATGATTGCTGCATATTTATGCTCTTTTTAGCCACCTATACCGTTCATCGTCATTTAATTCATCAGGTCGTAGTTCAAACTGTGATACGACTGAGGATATGTACAGTGATGTTAGTTTAGAAGACGTTCAAGATTTAAACCATAAACTTGAGTTATTGCAGCGACAAGTCACGAATTTAACAGATACACAAATGAATTCAGAAGATAAACATTCACGTGCCAAAACTGATTATGCTGTTTTACAAGCAAAATATCATATGTTAGAAGAGCAATTGAGAGAAACAGAACTGAGATATGAGGATAGATTGAGTGATGAGCAGAAACGTTATCGTGACTTACATACACGAATGGAGCGAGAAACGGAATTGAAGAAGGAAAATTATGAAATTCGTATTAAGAATTTGGAATCGGAACACAATGCATTAAGAGAGGAAAATAACCGTCTTAGATCTCAATGCGATAAGCAACATGCTGAAAACTTAGATACAGCTCGCTATAACTTATCAATCGCCCAAGAGAATTTAGCGGAAGCGCGAGTACATGAAAAGAGACTTTTGAGTGAGAAGAATCAATCAGAGCAGCTTATAATGGAGTTACATAAGGAAATTGAGAGAATCCGAAACGATACACAAAATGTCATGTCAAGCATGACAAGGCGATCAAATTTTCACAATATTTCTGCTTCGTCACTATCACTAGAGTCAAATGCTTCATCAGAGCCATTTAAAGTTGATGAGTTACAGACCGAACTTGAAAAGTTGAGAATTGAGAATCGACAATTGCGAGAAACGAATGAGGAACTGCAGGCAATGCTGTTAAATAGAAATATCGAAGAAGGAAGGAATCTATTAAATGGCGGAACATCAAACTTAGCTGATGAGCTGAAGGAAATGGGCCAAAATCAGGTGAGAATTAATTTATATTATTTTTATAGAGTATAATTTATTGCTAATTTTCCTCATCATCGAACATATGTTTTTGTCCATATACTTAAAATTTGCTTGGTGCAAAATATCAGGATGATGCACTTATGAATTCATTGACTCAGGTAATCACAGTTTTTGTGTGTGCAATTTTTTTGTGCATTTTTCTGGTGTTGGATCTCCTTCGTGTACACTAATCGAATAACCACAATTTTTTTTTTTCATTATAAAGATAATAGTAAAGTTAATTAACTAATTCACTCATACATAACTATTGCAATTATCTATGTGCACTATCTCTTTTATACTTATGATTTCATATCCATTTCTTATTACATTTACAGCTGCAAGAAACTCTACAAGAGAAAGATGACGAGTGCCGACGACTCAAACGTTACATTGATACTATATTACTTAATATTGTTGAAACTTATCCTCATTTGTTAGAAATCAAAAATGTTGAACGTTCATCGACTTGCTAATCATTGTTAAAATCGAAAGAAAAAAATCTGAATTTTATTATTTCTAAAATAATGACCAAGGAGATGGATGTTTTTCGATTTGATGTTACATAATAAATTTTGGACAATCTAGCAGACTGAAATGACAAGCCTTGACATCAAATCCGATAATATTCATCTCCTTTATTAATAATTTAATTTAAATCAAATCGAAAAAAAAAATCCTTAATTCTTAATCTCATTTTAAAAAGACTCTAAACCAATTGTCTAATCTACTTACAATATGAAAACCTTTCATGAATTTCATATTTTTAAAAATTATTATTTTTTTTGTAGGAAATTAATAAAGTAAATTAAAAAAATGAAAGCAATAAATTTTTTATTACATTCACGACAGCGATTTTTGCTTTAATCTGCTTTAATCTGACTGTGAAAATTGGTTTACAGCCATAAAGAAAGTTTGTTGATTTCGTGCATTTTCTACGGTTTGGAAATTTATAGTAAGCATTGCATTGTTCTAGATTTAGTGATAAGGAAAGAGTCATAGACATTTCCACAAGCCAATGAATATGACGAATGACTGAATTCTTTTATCCTGAATCGTCATCGCATTTTTCATTTCTATTTTGTTGATTTTGTTTTGAGTTATTCATTTACAGAAGGACTGAATCTAATTATTAGAAAAGTATGTGGACAACACTCTATATAATTTTTGTAGTGGGAATTGAACCCACGTCCTTAAAAAAGAGGGTTACTGATATCCGATCTGATGCTTAATCACTCACGCCGCAGAGAAGCTATACTCGTGCACTGACAGATTCCCCTATATATGGCTCAATACCCTAGATTCCAGTCTGCTCTAACACCACAATTGGTCAATAAGGAATCATTAAATTTACATTTTTCGGAGGCTTTATTTTTCAGGCCTTGCCTGTTTTATGGCTTTAGATTCAGAAGTCATCAGTTTCCGATATGTACAATAGTGCCTATAACTAGGTTTTGCACTCGATTAATTGTTATGTTCAAGTTTCGATGGCTTGTGCTTTGAATTGATCATTATTTTCTTAAAAATTCTTTTAAGATCACAATCTTTATCATCTACTTTAAGGAATCGATGCGATAATTTTTTCGGAAAAATCTTGGAAAAATCACAAAAAATTAAAGCAATTATGACATTCAGTTCTATACTATTTCATAAAGGTAATTCCAAAAGCAGACAAGGTTTGTATAGCAATTAAAACACAGCTATAATAACGTTGCATTGATAACTCCCAATTGATTTCACCACACTTTAAAATAATTAAAACAAACAATTGCGTTTTATCATCCAATGTGTATGACGCATTAAGCTTTATAGATAGTTTGGGCGATAAACGTGCATAGTCATACAAATGGAAATCGAAATTAAAAGAATTTCCATTCGATAATTTGAATCGTAACGTATTTTTGCTGTTTTTAAAAACAAAAAACGTGAAAGCTTTGATTGATCATGTGCTTTTATGCATCATACAAGTACAGAAAAATCAACGGCTTTAAAAAAAATTTCTCAATCAAATTATGTGCAATTGTTTTCGTAATTTAAACACTCATTATTTTACCATATGATGACCGACATAAACACGTGGATGGAATGATATGTGAAGCAACAACAAAAATCAATAAAAATCGAACTTAAACTTTCATTATAATGAACTTTTTACGGTGGTTTGTGAGTGAATGTCTGATGGATTAACCTTTTCACAAATGTTCATGTGTAACACAATCATTAAGCTGTTCTACATGTGCCTTAACAACAAACAGTAGCAAATTCATTTGAATTTACCTTAATTTATTGTGTATTAAATATGAATCAGCGCATATTTATTCATAAAACATTGAGAAGGTCAGATGAGAGCGATAAAGGATAGAAAACTAGACACACTACAAAATTCTGTTTGTATTCTTTATTAGCTTAGGGAAATCCCTTCTGCATGTTTCATGACACTCGTTCCATAATTATTTATGTCAATTTGCAGTCAACTTTATATTAATCATTGACTTCCAGTGGTCAACAATTAAATTATGTTTATGATGTAAATTCAAATTCACTTACGTGTAAATTGGAGACATGACGCAATTTATCATAAACCTGCCTGTTCATGCGACATTTGATGGCGCATTTACATTAATCGATTATTTGAAAAGGAATAGGAAATAAGAATTTAAAAGTCAATAATCCAATTAAAAGCTTTTATGATTTAGTGACGATGAAAAATATAAATACATGCATTAAGGGTTTAAATCTGTGACATAAGCTTGGTAAGTTTAAATATTTAAAATCAAACTATAACACTGGAAAGAGGATGCAATCATGGCATTGGCTCATGAACTTTCCTATAGAGATGCGAGATGCAGTGTAAGAGTTGGTTCCTTAAATCCACAATCTAATTATTCAAATTGCAAATGATTATCCTAGATTAATTTGAATACTTTGCTTTAGCTCATTTACCATTAGAATCAAATGACTTCAGGACAGGTCAAGAGAACTTAAACCTAATAATTGCTTGAAAGTAAAAAAGCTGAAATAAAAAGCTTAGTTCAACTTTAATCAGCATTTACTTGCATTAAAATTTCATCTTTTAAAAATTAATTAATTGAAGCCAATTAATTTAAAATTAACCTCCTAATCTACATACTTTCGACTAATTATACTGTCACACATGATAAGAACTATTTGCTATAATCATCATGTAAATAGAATTAAATTGTTATTTTGACGGCTGATTATTAAAAAGCAAATCAAAATTTTATGGTTCGTAAATCTTTCGGCTCTTATCAGGCTTGATAAAGACACAAAGTACTAAAGATAGTAAAAGTCAATAATATAGGGTAGACTTTCCGTTGTCTTTATTGAAAAATGTAATCGAATGTTTAGTTTGCGAGTTCTTTTATTGTGGAATAAGGTTAAATTTTGCTATAAAAGGAGGAAATTCGGGTAATTGTGGTTCGTATTAAATCTGTGACTTAATACAAATTAGCTTAGTTCGAAGTTGAATCGAATGGTTAACAGAGATTCAAAAAATTAGTTAAAATAAACCAAAGGTTCAACATTTAGCTTCTATTTTGTGGTTATTGAAAAGTCATGGTTTTGTTTCCCTGTAAAATTAATTATTTTCTACGACTTGAGCAAAATTATAAATTGTAATGATCAACTTAGAATGTGTAAAGCTTGATGAATATTCCTAAGCAGTGTCACATTTTTAGGATAAAGTCAATGACCCAAAAATAATGTTCTCAGTTGCCTGCCATTGCCATCAATCTTAGATTATTCTATCAAAAATAGTTATGACAATTCTAAATCTTTAATTAAGCCACATCCATAAAATAAAATGTATACTTCTCATCTTATATATTGTGTGATAATTAATCTAAAATTACACAACCAGTTCTGATTTACAGCCAACAGAAGCAATTAGGGTCATAAATTTCAAAAGTCATAGACTAAGCGTTAACAGCAGCAACCCTTATAACGTGATCATTTAAGTATGTCCTATAAATTAATTAGAGTATTAATTTTAAATACAGGCACAAACTGATATAGACGTAAAATATGAAATTCTCTCAGTACGGATAGATAATGGTGTATAGCATATTCAAATGAAGCTTCATCAACAACAACAATGAACCACTTGTCTCTTCGTTATTTTTGTATTGAACGTAAAGCGGAAAAATTGATAGCTACTCACATGTGATGAGAGCGCAAATAAGATCACTTCATTAATAAGTTCTATTTTAGAGTGGCAAGACATAATTTTTTTCTGTTCATGAGATTATTTATTAAGTTTTAATCAGTTCCTGATGGCTGAAAATGTCCAAAAGGATGGTAAAGTTTATAATGTCATCAAACGTGTCTTAATATCTGAAATTGTAAATTTTATCACCCCAAACAGACGATGTGAAAGTAAAGCAACGAACAATTTTGTGGTTTTTGGTGTTTACAGGATTCAGCATAAACTACATGATCAGAATAAACGTGAATATTGCGTTAATTGATATGCTAGATACTGTGTACAGAAAACCTTCAAATACACCAAATGTTTCAATTGAGTGTGTAGCTACTAATGATGTTTATACTAATGATACGGAGAATTTGAATAATGACTTAATTGAAAATGAACACACAAGGCTATCTTTAGAAAGAAGAATATTGGATTTTTTATCGGTAATTGAGAAAATGTCACGCAATCTCTTCCGGGTCATTTTCTGTTTGCGAGATTTGTGCAATATTTATTTTCATGATTATTAAGACGTGCTAATTAGAGTCTGATCATCAGATTTTGAGCGAGTCTTATTACAAAGTCAAGCAAGTGAAGAGTAAGTTATGACTTATGAAGTTTTAATTTTGAGAATTTTTATTGATTCCAATTCTATACTAGGCCTCGTTTTTTTTTAAGTAGTCAATAATTTCAATGGAAACTCTATTTGACGTCAATGAATCTCCATAAATAATTCAGCTTGTATTGACTTTTTCCTAAAGAAGAATATGTCATGCTTGTACGAATCCCAAAATATAGAATTTAACATATTGCACATCTCCAATCAGTAAATTGAACCTTAAGAATGTTTGTTCCTTAAATCAAATATTTAACAGATCGACTACGATCGAGATGGATTCAATTGGAATGAGAAAATACAGGGACAAATTTTAGGCAGTTTCTTCTCCTTTCATTTCCTTTTACAACTTCCAGGAGGTGATATACACATTTAATCGACTTCCTTAATGAAAATTTCAATCATTAATGCGTTCCCTTAATTTTATACAGGTATATTAGCAGCAAAGTATGGCACGAAACTTATTTTCGGAGTTGCCAATTTCATTGGATGTATATTGTCATCATTTATGCCAATAGCTGCTTATATTGACTACCGAATATTAATCGCATTAAAAGTTTTACAAGGAATTATTTGCTCAATGTGTTGGCCTTCAATGCATCATTTGTCTGCTCAGTGGATACCTGCAGATGAGCGGGGGTAAGGTACAGAAAAAATGTAATATTTAATTTTTTTTTAAATCCAATTAACTCCATGTAGGAGATTTGTCTCTTCGTATCTTGGTTCATCATTTGGTGTGGCAATATTTTATCCAATTTTCGGATTCATCATGAAGGCTTACAGCTGGGAATATGTCTTTCATTTCTGTTCGTTAATCGGATTGATTTGGTGGATCAGCTGGCAATATTTTGTCTATGACTCGCCACAAAAGCACCCAAGAATAACTGAGAGTGAAAAGAAATATTTGTTGGAAGCTTTAAGTTCATCGATGCAGCTTCATGATCAGGAACAGAAACGGAAAATTCCATGGACTAAAATTCTGACATGCTCTGGCTTGTGGATTAATACGATTGCACAATTTGGTGGAATTTGGGGACTTTTTACAATTTTAACACAAGGACCTTCTTACTTCCGATTTGTTCATAAATGGGATTCAACAAAAATTGGTCTTGTTTCTGGACTGCCACATTTATTTCGAAGTTTTACAGCAATTTTCATTGGACAATTCTTAGACTATCTGCTGCAAAAGAAATGTCTAACAAGGAATCAAGTACGAAAACTTGCAACAGGAATTTGTACAATTGGAAATGGAATTTTCGTCCTACTTCTAGCATTTTCAGGCTGCAATGCTTTATTTGCTTGTATCTGCATGATAATAGCAACTGCTTGTCACGGCGCTGTTAGTTCAGGTCCATTAGCAGCTGTAATTGATATCTCACCAAAATATGCAGGCGTGTTGCTTGGAATAATCAACATGATTTGTGCTGTTCCTGGATTTGTTTCCCCAATTGTTGTATCATATTTTACGTACCAAAACCAAAGTACTGAAAGTTGGAAAATTGTCTACTTGATATCAGCCTTCCTGTTAATAATAAGTGGAATTATTTATGTCATATTTGCTGACTCAACTCAAAGAAAATGGAACAATCCAATTAAAGCCAAAGAAGACTGTGATGAAAATAATGAAGAACTTGAAAGTCTTGATAAAAAAACCCAGAAATAAATTTTATTTATATGCCAAAATCTAGAGGAACTGAGTTTTCAATCACTTTATGTCTTATGAAGATATCCTTGATCTTTCGCCATATTCTCGAAGATTTGGCAAAGCACTCAATATTTCCACAAATGTAAAATCCAAACTTAGCACGTGATAGAATCACACTTATTCTGTTTTCCATAGCTAGAAAGCCAATGTCATTATTTTTGTTACTTCTTACTAAGGACAGCAGTATGATGTTTGATTCTTCACCTTGATAAGCATCCAGAATAGCTACTCTAACTCGTGGTAATGATAAATCCCTTAATTTCTGTTTGAATCTCTTGGCTTGTGCTGCATACGGCGTGAGTATGACAATTTCATTTGAATCATTTCCAAAATCGAGTAGTTTTTGATACAAGTTGAGGATGAAGTCTACTTCGAAGAGATTCTCTTTTGATGTCTCACTAATTGATTCCGGATAATCGTGATTAAGGACAAAGAAATTTCTGCTCATGCCTTTAACATTTGGATAACTTTGCACATTTGGTCCGTCCTTTAAATAATTATAGATTGTTTCTCTTACTAAGTCACAAAATTCAGGTCGCATTCTCCTTTGTACATCCAGTGCTACATATGAATATTTATTGAAGATCAGTCTCTCAAATAATGAAATATTAAAGTCAAAATTTCTTTGCAATTCATAGCTATTAGTTTGAGGACGAAGTTGATGATGATCACCAATCATAATAACATGCTTAGTTTCTTTTGTTAGTGATGCTAGCACGTGACTTTCGAGAATTTCTGAAGCTTCTTCAATTATCACTATTCCAGGCTTTAATAATTTATTAATGGCACCATTATGAGCAGCATAGCTTGTAGTCATTCCATAAACTCTCTTATTGCTAATATTGCAATAGCTATTTAATTGATTTATTTCCTCACTTAATCGATAATGCAAAGAAATTTGTTGAAAGACTTTTGTTAAATCCTCATTTGCTTCCATTAAGTTCATTACTATATCTCCTTGTTGTGCCTGTAACTTCTTTAAGTAACTTCTCGATTCATAAGGTACGTTTGTAGATGCAATGTAAGGTTCAATTATTTCATTTTTACACTGTCCTCCAAATCTAGCAATTTGATCAGTGAACTGCAGACATCCAATCAGGAACTTATCAAGTGCATTATTAGTTTGTGTGAGAATGAGAATTTTTTCATCCGTATTTTTAAGCAGGATATCTATAAGTTGTAATCCAATAAATGTTTTTCCACTTCCAGGCGGTCCAACAAGGACAGAAAAGTCATTACTTATTCCTCTATAAACAGCATCAGCTTGCATATTTTCTAGCCCTAAATCGCACTTGATCCAATCGTCAATTTTATCAACTTTCAAGGAATAATTTTTATAGTCGTAATAATTTGGATGATCATAATTTGGAAATATATTATCTCTATTCATATCCAATATTCGACTTCGGAATGGAAAGTTGTGCTCATTTAAACTCTTAAGCACACCAAAAACTTGATAATATGGATCAAAAAATGATTTAGGTTCCACCATGAAAAATTCTCTGTCAAATATATTCTCAATATTCTCGGTTCTCTTAATCTCTATAATAATAGAATTAGCTTGATCGAGAGATTCGATATTTTTACATTTTAAAACGGTTGCGACAACTAAGTCCTCACAATTATGACTGGATGTAAAACAAAGTATTTGTCCATTAAAGAAATTTGCATGATAATTTAACTGAGCCAATATTATCGGACAGTTCATATTCCATAACTTGTGCCACTCAATATTGATTTGTACTTTAGGGAATAAAGTTGCATCATGAGTTCTTATCACTCGGTCTATGTTATCGATGTTTTTTAAATGATCAAATCCACTTCGTAATTTACACATAAAGTCTTCTTTCAGGAGAGGTAATTGAACTTTTAAGTAGCTAATCACATCGGGATACTCTCCATGAACTATGTTCTTGTCGAGGTTCTCTGGATAGAATTTCAGGTCGTGAATCGATGGAATTATCTAAAAATCAATTAACATTAGAAGTTTAATCAATTATAATCATAAAATAAGCCTTTACCTCAAATATGTTTAATTTATTCGAAAGTTCATCATACACTTGAAGTATCTGTTGCAATTTCTTTACACTGAAGTATTCACGATCAGCATACCTATTGATTGTCTTTAGTAAAAGTCCGAAAATCTTCTCTAGTTCATCTTTCATTAAGTTTTGTACAATCATGAAGAACATTAATGATTCTATACTGTCAAATAATCCTTTCATGTCAATTAGCAGCAAATATTTTGGATCCTTCCACTTAGACTCAAAGAATAGTTCTATGAGCTGAATTATTTGCATCCAAAAAGATTCAATCTTTGGTATTCGTTCAAGTAATAACTTATTATGATACATAAAAGGAACTTCTAACAATGCCACATCAATTTTAAGCAGTTCAATGAGAGATTCATCGCTCAAGCTTTCCTGTTCATGAGTTATAATGAATTTGCCGAAATTACCAAATATCTCGTAAATGACATTTTGGAACTGAACTTCTGATCTAATTTTTAATAATTCCTTGTATGAATATGGCAATTCCTCTTTATGATTTGCTCTGGATCTATGCTTTTTATTTGATCTTGTAGCTGACACTTCTTGCTTCTTTCGCATTTGATTGATATCATAATAATTTTCATTGTTTTCGTCGAAATTCAATTTAAAATTGATGCCAGCGGGAACTGTTGTACTTTTCTGGTCCTTCTCATGCTGTTCCACATCTATTTTCTGATCCCAATCAATTTGATCCCACGAATCTTCTGGTTTTGCCATGATTTAATTAATTTTTCTTTTATTATTTTTAAGTCGTTTGTTTGTAAACAATCATTTAACAGTGTAGATCCGTAAATATTTAACAGTGTTAGAATTTAAAATTTATGTAACCGTTATTTTTTTGACACGTGGAGAAGGATTAAGACATTTTGCAAAAGAGTATAAATATCAAAGAACGCCCTCAAAACTTCAACAGTTTATTACTATAATTTTAAAGAAAATGTTGCAACAAATAATAAGAGCCAGAGTAAGGCGATCAATTAAAGATTCGCTTATGTTCACCCATCAAAAAGTTCAATTGAAAATACATCAAGGAACTGTTAAAGGTGTAATTGAGAACTTAGCTAATGGGAAAAGTTTCTACAGATTTTCTGGCATTCCTTATGCAAGAAATCCAGAAGGCAAGTTAAGGTTTAAAGCTCCCGAAAAATTATTAAAATTTGAAAAGGACGTAATTGACTGTACAAGGGAGGGAAGTGCATGCTTCCATCAATCGACTGTCACAGGAAATTATATTGGATCAGAAAACTGCTTAAATTTGAATGTATATGCTCCAGCAGATGCAAAATTCAAGAAACTTCCAGTTATTGGTAAGAAATTTTATCAAAAAATTGTGTTCCTTAAAATTATCAAAAAATCTTCTACACAGTTTTCATTCATGGCGGAGGCTTTATGTTAGACTCGAATAGTGTTGACTTGTAAGTTTAATTATTTTTTCAGACACAATCGATTCTCCTAATTAAAATATTATTCCGAATAGCTACTCCCCAGAATATTTGCTAGCTGAGGATGTTGTAGTAGTCACAGTCAATTATCGACTTCATACTTTAGGATTTTTGTCACTTCCAAGCATGGGAATATCAGGAAATGCTGGATTAAAGGATCAACAAATGGCACTAGAATGGGTTTATGATAATATATCCCATTTTAATGGTGATCCTGACAACATCTGTTTGTTCGGGGAAAGTGCAGGCGCAGCAAGCGTCTATCTTCATACATTAAATCCAAAGTCACGTAGATTCATTAGCAGTGCTATATGTAATAGTGGAACTGCACTTGATACTTGGCTGTACCAAAGAGATGGAGAAGGTAAAACTAAAATGCTAGCAAAACGCGTTGGTGCTAAAGGAAGCAGTGATAAAGACATTTATGATGCTTTAATGTCATCATCAACACAAAGTTTGTACGATTTAGCGAATAAAGTACGAACACCTGACGAATATAGACGATCGATTCCGTTCACATTTAAACCGATTGTAGAAAACGAAAGTGATGATGCATTCATGACTGAATCCCCATTAGAACTGATCAAAGGTCAAAATGGACAAATTAAGTTGCCAATGATAATTGGAAATAACAGTGCGGACGGTATGACAATGACTTATTATTTCCGAAAAAATCTTAATTTAAATAATGAAGATACAGTTCGACTAGTTCCATTTTTTATTAATGTCGATCCACTAAGTAAAGAAGCAAAAGCTTTGGGTGATAAGATCAGTAAATTTTACATGGGCAATAAAGGGGTTTGTGAGGAAACATTACAAAGGTATTTAGATCTGAATTCTGATTCATACTTTTTTGTTTCACAAACAATTGCCGCAAACCTTAATAAAATACACAATCCAGGTATGAATCAGTATTTGTATGAATTCGATTTCGATGGAGAATTAAATTTCATGAAGAGAGCTTTAAGGATGAAGAAATATAAGGGAGCATGTCATTTCGACGATATGTCATATCTTTTCAGGTATTAATTAATGAGGATTTAAAGATATTAAAACTAGATTTATTTACTTTCGATATCATTCACAGGCATCAAATAATAGATGTATCAATTAGAAAAAATTCTCGTGAACACAAAATGCGGGACCGGATGTGTAAAATGTGGACCAATTTTGCAAAATATAAAAATCCTACACCCAAGACTAATAATCCTTTACCGACGATTTGGGAGCCCGTTAAGTCCACTGATAAAGACTTAAATTATATGATCTTAGACGATAATCCACGAATGGTTAAAAACATCCATTCAGACAGAATTAACTTTTGGAAAGAGGTTTTGGAAGAGTTTAATGGCTCATTCTTTAATCCTATTTGTCCTTAGTTCCGATTAATTTATTTATAATTATTGTGAAATATTTATTAAACTTGCGAAATAAAGACCTGTCAAGAGCACGTCTCATATTTAAAAAAATTATTTTTTGTTCTTTAGACTTTAGTCATTTTATGATATCAACAGAAAATCTCGTAGACATTCGTCACGATAAGTATAATACATTGACAAACAGTTTTGGACTTTGATAAGGGAGCCCCAATCAAGCTGTTTGTTTACTTTTCTTTTTAATTGAAGTTTGATCTTTTGGAACTAGGTAAATGATTAAATGGCATTAATTTAATGCGGATGGCTTTTCTAGATTATTTAATTGTTGGGGAGTTAGATTTACAGCCATAAAAGTTTCTTGTTATTGTGAACTTTAGTACCGTAGAATTATAATTGTGATTTTATGTTCTTGAAGAAAACTCAAAAGAGTTAAAAATATAGTAATTGAAGATGTAGGAAGTAAGATGTTAAATTTAGGGATTTAAGTGTGAAATCTGATTGCTATCGCTTTTGAAGCTTTGTGTATTTGTTTTAAAAAAACGTTCTTAAATGTTTATTAAGTTTGGGAGGCTTGGTTTGTAATATTTCAATTTATAAACTTACCTAATTCCTTTTTACAGTCAATCCTCAATGTTGCTTGTCAATTTCAAGTTTTTTTAAACAAAATTTAAGAACTTGCTGATGATGTATACCATCTTTGTGTTTTATGTTCTTCTTTTTGCTCAATATCCCTACCTAAAATTTAAAATTAAATGTTTTGAGAATCATAGCTTAAAATTTTTATCATAATTGTTTTTATCATACAATTACTTTTCAAAAACATTTTAAGTTGTCACCTTTTTTCAAAGAGTTTTTAGCAACACCTGTTTCAATATTTTCGTCATATGTTTACTTTTGGCAACAATAAAACTGAAAGTGCATGCAATGCTAAGATGATAATTCAATATTGATAATTTCGAATTATTTGCTACTTGGGAGAAACGAAAAGATTCGAATAAAATTTGATATCAATCATTAAGTCAATTTTATAGTCGAGATAAGGGGCCGTTCACTTATTACGTTATGCCAAAAAACGACTTTTTTCACCCCCCCCCCCCCCTTGTTACAATATGTTACAACTCACAACCCCCCCCCCCCCCGAACGTTCATAATTTACTTTATTTTGATAATTTTTCATAAATACAATTTTTCAAACCCCCCTTCCCCCTAAAATGCGAACGTAATAAGTGAACGGCCCCTAACTTGATTACTTAATTAATCAATTTAACAAGCTTGTGATTTTTGACATTTTTATTAAGGATAAAAAAAACTAGCCAATTGAGGGATGTACATGTAATTGCACTACTCAAATGAGAAGCATTGTTACTCTCATGATTATTCTCTTGCTCTATATAAAAGAAATCTCTCAAATTTGTGTCACGTGTTGAATATGGAACACTAGTTTTGTTTACGCAAAATAGTAAAATGTTAAAACAATTCGTAATTGCCAAAGCGAAACGATCTATCAAAGATGCATTATTATTTGCATATCCGAAAGTTAAACTTAAGATAAATCAAGGAACAATCAAAGGATGCAGAGAAAAGCTTCCAAATGGAAAGAATTTCTATAGATTTTCTGGTATTCCCTATGCACAGAGTCCAAAAGGTCAACTTCGTTTCAAATCGCCTCAAAAGTTGATAAAATTTGACTCAAGTGTGCTGGATTGTACAAGAGAAGGTGATCCCTGCTTTCACAAATCCACTGTGACTAAAAAACTTGTAGGATCTGAGGATTGTCTTCATGTTAATGTGTATGCACCAGCTGATGCGCCACGTAAACTTCCAGTAATGGGTGAGAAGGTCAAGGAACAACTTTTAATGCGAGTTAATTTTTAATCTTTTTTGCAGTTTACATTCATGGCGGAGGCTTAGCATTTGATTCGAACAGTGCTGATTTGTAAGTTCTTAAATAAACTTTGATTTATAAACATTTTTTAAGTATTCAACTCTATTACAGCTACTCACCAGAGTATCTTTTAATGGAGGACGTTGTAGTAGTAACAGTTAACTACCGATTACATGCACTAGGATTTTTATCACTTCCAAGTATGGGAATATCAGGAAATGCAGGATTAAAGGATCAACAAATGGCTCTTGAATGGGTTTATGAGAACATATCCCATTTTAATGGTGATCCTGACAACATTTGTTTGTTCGGTGAGAGCGCAGGAGGCTCAAGTGTCTATCTACATACACTCAATTCAAAGTCACGAAAGTTTATTAAAAGTGCAATTTGTCAAAGTGGAACAATAATCGATCCATGGCTATTTAATAAGAATGGAGTTGATTCAACACGAACATTAGGAAAATTAGTAGGTGCCAAAAGTGAAAGTGATAAAGATATTTACGAGGCATTAATGAGTGCAAAGCCTAATGCATTCTGGAGTAATATGCTAAAAATTAAAAATCCAGATGATGTCAGACGAGGACTTCCATTTGTATTTAAAGCTATTGTAGAAGAAGAAAATGAGGATGCATTTATAACAAAGCCACCACTGGAACTGATTAAAAGTCAAGCTGGTCAAGTTAAGATTCCTATGATGTATGGATTTACTAGCGGTGATGGAATGACGATGACAAATTTCTTTAAAAGAAACCTTAAAGCGTTTGATGATGATAAAGTTAAAATGATTCCATTTACTGTAAATATCGATCCAATGAGTGATGAAGCAAAAGCCCTTGGAGATCAAATCAGCCACTTTTATTTTGGAAGTGAAGGAATCAGCAAAGAAAAAATGCAGGAATTCATTACATTAAAATCTGATAATTATTTCGTCATCCCACAAACTATACATGCAAAGCTTAACAAACTTCATCATCCTGAAATTACGCAGTACCTGTACGAATTTGATTTTGATGGAAAATTGAACTTCTTAAAGAAAGTTTTGCAGATGGAACAATATAAAGGTGCATGTCATTTTGACGATTTGGCATACTTATTCAAGTAGGATATAATCACAAAATTTTGAGTAATCCTGAAATTAATTTTATGTATAATTTTACAGACACCAAATTATTGATGTACCTGTGAGCGAAAATTCACGTGAATATAAAATGAGGGAACGAATGTGTAAGCTCTGGACCAATTTTGCGAAATATGGAAATCCAACTCCAAAAGATAATAATCCTTTGGAGATTTTGTGGGATCCAGTTAATCCGAATAATGATGACTTGAACTATATGATTTTATCAGAAAATCCTAATATGGTTAAAAACATTCATCAAGATAGAATTCAATTCTGGACTAATATATATGAAAAATATAATGGATCACTCCTTAACCCTCATTTTTAAGGGATATTAATGAATTATTGACAATCAGATAGACTAATTAATTTGGTATTATTGATATTGATATTGTAGCTTAATTGGAGAATAAGAATAGAATAAATTGATTCTTAAAATTTAGGTAAACGAAACATTCACAGCTTATCATTTAGGTATCTTCGTTTTTGCAATTACAATTTATTACACAAGAGATCAAAACAAGATTTGAACCAAAAACCTTTTTAAAAGAAACGTCTACAAAACAAAGAACACAAAATTTAAACCAAATATGCTCTCATAAATCTTAATTAAGAAGAAAACAATTTTTGTTTACCAACAACTTGTTAAACTCTCTCCCATGACACTCAATTTTAGTTCTCACATGTCATTGAAATGCTTTTGAAATGAAACAGAAACAGCTGATCGCATATCAGTGAGCAAAGTACACAACTTCCAGCAACACAAATTTATTAATATTCATTAGAATTATTAAAAATGCGAGGTTTAAATGTGAAAGTTCTTCAAGGAATAGTTCAAGGATGCAAGGAGACATTACCGAATGGTCGAAATTATTTAAGATTTTCAGGAATTCCATATGCTAAGAAGCCAATCAGCGAATTGCGATTTAAGTCACCGCAAAAACTTGTTAAATTTGACAAAAATCAAATCGACTGCTCTAACGAAGGCAGTGAGTGCTTCCATAAGTCAACATTTTCAGGAGAATTTGTTGGATCAGAAGATTGCCTTTATCTAAATGTTTATGTCCCAGAGTCAACTTCATCATCAAAATTAGCTGTTATGGTCTTCCTTCATGGGTAATTGCTTTTTAAAGTTTTTTTTGGAATCAGATTTCAAATATTTTTTTATTGCAGAGGAGGCTTTAGTTCTGGAAGTGGATCAATGCAATGGTATTCACCAGAATATCTTTTAATGGAGGACGTTGTAGTAGTGACAGTAAATTATCGACTTCATGTCTTAGGCTTCTTGTCACTGCCGAGCATGGGTATATCTGGAAATGCTGGACTGAAAGATCAACAAATGGCACTAGAATGGGTTCATGAGAATATATCAGAATTTAATGGTGATCCTGACAACATCTGTTTGTTCGGTGAAAGTGCAGGAGCAACTGCTGTACATTTCCAAATTCTTAATCAGCGATCAAGAAAGCTCATAAGAAGTGCAATTTGTCAAAGTGGATCAGCATTAGTTGATTGGGGTATTCAAAGAAATCCACTTGAAAAGACAAAGACATTGGCAAAATTGTTAGGATGCTCAAATACTGAAAATGATCAACAAGTCTACAAAACTTTAATGTCTGCACCATTAGAAAGTTTATTCAAGTATTCTTGGAAGTCCGGAGAACGTGATGAACAAAGACGAAATATAAATTTTGTATTCAAACCATCAATTGAGTTGCCATCAGACGATGCCTTTATGTTTAAGTCACCAATAGAATTAATAAAGCAGGAAGACATCCAAATTCCAATAATATTTGGCACTAATAACAAAGAAGGCATGATTCAAACAGCATACATGCTTAAAGTTTTAGATAGCTTTAATAAAGATCCAGTAAGGATGATTCCATTGTCTGTTAATATTGATCCAAATACTCCTATTGCTTTGGAGCTTGGAAACACAATTAAGAAGTTCTACTTTGGTGATAAAGACGTTGGAAAGGAAACGATTGACAATCATTTTGACCTCATGACTGACATTCATTTTCTGACTGCACAAACCATGTCTAATGAGCTACACGCTCGTTTTCAACATAAAAGTAAACAATATCTTTATGAATTTCGATACGATGGAGCTTTGAATTTCTTCAAGCAAATTTTACGTATGAACAAATATAAGGGTGTTTCTCATGCTGATGATTTATTTTATTTGTTTGGGTAAATTAATGTCAGTACGTAAATTACAAGCTTATTAAAACTTATTATTTCTTTCCTTAGTCAGAAAAATTTTGCACTAGATTTGTGTGAAAACTCACCTGCTGTAAGGATGCGATCAACAATGTGCAAGCTATGGTCTAATTTTGCAAAATATCAGAATCCCACACCAGCTTTTAACAATCCTTTAGACAAGTTGTGGAATCCAGTAGAGTTTGCTGACTGTAATGCAAGGACTGTTGATTTTGATTATCTTGTGATAGACGAGGAATCAAAGATGGAGAAGAATGTAAATAGTGAGAGAATGAATTTTTGGAGGGACATCTATAAGACATGGAATATGGAATTTATTAAGCCTAAACTATAATTTTTTAAGAAAGCTTTTGTAATGGAAATTTACATTTTAAAATTTATGGGGTTTTTAATTTAAAAATTTGAATAAAATGGGTTTAGCAGTATTACATGCAACATTAAATCCACAAGTGTTTATTAGATATAATGACTATTCAAAAAGCATTCGACAAAAACGCCCTCTGATTGTGAGAGTGTAAAAATTCTTTTCAAATATTTCTCAGAGAATGAGCTTTATAAATTCAGCAGGTTAGTAAATAAATTGTCTCTCAACAGTTGTTTCGTGAATTTCGTTGAAAGCGGTTCCATAAAAATTTTTGTGCTCGCGATTTATCATTAGTATCAATTTGTTAATTATCAATTGCTTGAATCTACATGCAAAAAGTGCTGTCTAGTGAAGAAAAATAATATAAAATATATTGTAAAATTTAAGGAAAATTGATCAAAACATAATAATGATTTGCGGTTAAGTTTGTTGATTATTATGCTGCATCTTCCTTCTATTTATGCTGCATTTTAATGCTGTGAGAAAGAATCATGAACAAGAAATGTGAATCAGTGAGAAAGTGAAAATAATAAATAAACAGAAGTGCAAAAGATAAGAAAATATTTACAAAAGTGCAGCAATAAGATCAAGTGAGTCAATAATAGAGAAAATACAGCAATTGCACAAGGATTTATTCGTTAAAAATGTAAGTCATTGTGTTATGAGAATTTTTCGTTTTTTTTTTCACAACTCATTTTACTGCTGTGTCTACCTGTTTCGGATTACTTTACTTCTCACACAACTGAATTTTTTTGGTTCCTCTTCTTTTTAAGTCTTCTTTTATCCTCATACTTATTTATTAGTCAAACTCAGCTGGTCTTTTTACGTATTCTCTTGTGAACAAAAAAGTTCGTTATTTTTCTTATGAATTAAAGTATTGAAGCATATTTGCGTGCATAAACTGGATATTCTCCTTTATTAAATAAACTTTGAGAATTTTGTGGTTTCTAATAAATCATATAAGTTACTGACTGACATAAATGTAATGTACATTGGAATTTTCCTTTAATTTATTTATAGCCTTTTTGCGTTCTAAGACTTTTCGATGGCTTTCGGAAAGGAAGTAAGAAAAAACCAAAGTTCAGCTTGATTAAAGAATCATGAGAAAGTCAACTGGTTGTGAATATAACTTGTTGTACAGAATTAAAGCGTATTTTTAGTGTCAACGAAAGTAGTCTCTAGGGCTAGTGATCTACCTTAGAATTAAAAATCTAAGTACAACACTCAAATCTATAAATAAAAATGGAATTATGACCAAGATTAGTAGCTCCAAAAATCGGTTCCGAAATATTAGAACAATTTACTCTTTCCAAATAAAAGATCCAATAATTCACAGAAGGAACCAGAAAAGAAAAGAACCCAAATTGAAATATATTTAGACTTAATGAATGCTAATGGAAATAATAGATTAAAAAAGTAAATGAATTCATTAACATTTCCAAAGATTTTTCGTGAAAATTAAATAAAGAATTATTTACAGAACTCACAATACTAATGACTTTAATTGGCGAATAACAAAATGCAGATCTTCTCTCGCTTTGTGATTTCGAGATTTCCACAGCTGGATTTGGTTCAACAAAATTGTTGATGAGTTCTTTTAACTTATTTCCTCAGTCTACTGAATTCATTTTTGAATGTTTTACATTACAACCCTTTTAAATCTACTTTTGATCTTTCGCTTGAGATTCTTATGTGTCAAGTTTTTGAAGCATATCGTCGTTATTATCATTTTCTCATTAAATTTTATGCTTTCTATCATTAAAGAATATTTTGATGCGTAATTTGGATGTATTCTGAATTTTATGCGAGTTTCTGTTCGTTTGTTCCTTAAGTTGATTTTACGGAGATTTAATTTAAAGTCTGAGGATTTATTTCTGTTCTAAATCCTATGATTAATCTTAATCAGGCGATTTAATTTTATAGACAAATTATTTTGATTTAACATGTAACTATTGATTCTCATGTTAATGACTGATTTAATTTCATATACTTACAGATAAATCATAACTTTCAATCTACACCATAAATGTTAATGAAAGCTACAAATTGCCGAAATCTCGTGGAAATGATATAATAATTGATATGTAAAAATCACATAATAAAATAACAACAAGATCAAGATAAACTAGTGAAGGAAGAAAGATCAGAATCGAAAGCGGAAAGAATCATCGCTATAATAAAAATCTACGTGGGAAAATTGAAACAAATGACTGAAAATTTTTAAAGTGGAAAATTCACAACGAAGCCCTAAACTGATTTATGCTCGGTTGCAATATCAGCATAATCTTATTTTAGTCAACAAAAAAAGAGAGACGAGAAATAAATCAGATTAAGTTGCATAAATTATTGTTTATCGTGTCAAGTAAAGTTGCCTATGTTTTGCTTCATGGAAAGTGTTTATGATTCAAATGAAAAAAGATCAACGAACGGCCTGAAGATGTTTAATAAAAATAAATAATAAGTTAGTGGAAGTAATTGAGTGTAAAATAAAAATAATTCATTGTTATTCATGTTCAATTAAGCAAGTTGAATGATGATTATAAAAATTTACATTAAAAGTGCGTAAACTGAAATTGACAAGTGAATTTGAAAGATTTATTAAGTGAAAGATTACGACACAAAGCAGCAAGCTTCAACATGGGACAGAGAAAGAATCGTGAATCGAAACCATCGGTAAGTTCTTCCTAAAACTTGTATAATTAATTTACTAATATTATGTCAATCTTCTTCGTTGTGAGGCAAATGATAATGTTCTTTTTTGATATGCTTCCAAGGCACGTGTTTCAAAGCTTTTTGGCCATAAATAAACATGATTGAAGATGTGTAGTCTCAACTATTTTTATTATTTATCAATTCTCCATTTGTTTTCGTTTAAAGCATCAAATGAACGGCAATCAATTATTTTCATCTCTAAACGAGTCTTGGCAATCTGCTTCAATTTGCCAGTGCTTTTAATAGAAATGAAAATCAATTCGTGCCTGTAAAAAATCAATTCAAACAAATTTCACTTTTAATACAGCAAGAAACACTCACAGATAGTTTTGCCGCACGCAGTTTAATTAGATTTAATAACATACAATGAATTTGCATGCGTTTGAATTTGTTATTTTGATACCATCAATTTATGTAAATTTCCTATTCCAACGTGCAACAAAGAATGAGAAATGCAATTTTGTACATTCACATGACGTAAAGTTGAAGGTCCTCTTTTGTCATAATCCATCTTTACTTAATCCATTCTAACTTAATTAAAATTTATTTCACATTTGTCTGCTTTAAAAGCTTTTCACATGGCCTAATGAACTCAATTCATTTCCATTTCTTAATACTTCTATCTTATTCCAATTGCTCAATTCAATAATGCATTTTAAATTACGTTCCTTCACTTTCTTTCAATCGTGCAAAATAAAAGATTTAAAAAAAATTTCACTAAAGACACATCTTTATGGCTCGAATGGAACCTGTTAAGACAAGGTCGAAATGAGAAGATTTGCATAAATTATGACGTCCATTAAATGTGTGCGACTTGAGGCTGTCTTTAAATTATCTTCTTTTTTTTGTTAAAATGAGTCTGTTGTGTGAAATTTGATCCATAAATTGATAATTAATTTGTATTAAATTACCGGATATTTCATTAAATTCCCCTTTGTTTAATTCCTTAAATTTGAAGCATTCACATGTGTTCTATAAGAAGACTGATGCATGTCAGCTGAAACGTGAAAGAAAGTAAAATGAAAGGAAGTAGAAATAACACACAAAAAACCAGTTCGATGTGTGCTATCAAACAGAATAATGACTGCTGATATCGATGAGGTTGAAAAGTGAGAGATGATAGAATAATAAGTGGAATTAAAAGCTGAACTAGTTTACATCTTGCTTAACTTTCTCACCAATTTTCAATCTCCATTATTCTATTTCCATTATCATTGCGAACTTTCTGGATTAAGCAATGGAATCAAGTTGGATGTGTCAACTTTGACTAGCTTAATAGATTGCAATTAACTATTCACCTGCCTCAAAAAGTTATTCAACTAAAAAGTAAATAAGAAGAAAAGCTGTTAATCAAAAACTTTAGTGAATCGAATTATTTGTACTCAACTATGTGCTATGAAACTTCACGCAATTGCTGTGCAACAACTTTATGTTGCTTAAAATTATTTTAAAGCATTTTTCTTTCGAAACAGTTCAGGCGAATTTGTTCAGAATTCTATTGAAATTCTTCTACGTAAATGCTTTGCGTAGGATTCTCATTCTATTTGCTAGACTCGAAGGTTTACGTGCGTAGCTGGCACGAAAGAAAAACAGATTTTTATTTTTCCTTTTTCTAAATTTGTGATATTGAAGGTCATGAACGATAAGCGAGAATATTCTCATTGAACTTAGCACAGCAAACACATTTCGAGGTTGTCGCATCTATTTTTTATGAGTTCCTTTGCATTCCCCAAGTTCATGTTCTTTTATTGTTGCCGAATGTGACTGACATGCTCGTACAAAAAATCGATAGAATAAAGTAAATAATTTGGCAAATAAATGTGGGTTACTAAGTATAATGACAGCAGCCATTACTTTAATTAACCTGATAAACTTCAATGGCACACATGCTTGCTTCATTCATGACTTGAAAGTTTTTGTTTTCGTTGTGATATCTTCAACTTATTCAATAGAATTATTAAGTTCGGTATGAGTAAACTTTGAAGTACTTATCGCGTACGACAACATTGGAAGTCAATGTCAGAATAAAAATATCTATTGCAAAAATGCGAAGGTCGGGAAACTTTTTATGAATCAGAAATTAAATGTTCGAATAATTCTATTAGGAATAAAAAAGAGTTCTTTATGCTTTCATCTTCAGATGATGCTTGCTTGCTTACTTTACACAGTCCATAATCATCACGTTTTTGGTTGGTGTAGGTCTTTGAACTAGATGATGCGAGTAATGCACAGTTGATAGTCTGAGAAGTAATAAGAAAAAGCCACAAAAAAGTTTTATTGTAAATTTCATTCAATTAGTTTGGTTTAAAGAGAATCAAATAATTTGAAAGATGGTAAAAAGTTGGCAACGTTGTTTGATTTTTATCAAGTGTTAAACTATTCAATCACAATGTGAGTTCAATAAATTGACATGACGTCTCATTGATCACAACATAAGCCTCTTTGATAGAGTGTGTCATTAATTTAAATACAGTTACACCTTAACCAATGTCGATGTGACCTCAGATTATTTACTTTTAATTATTCTGTTGATGTGTTGATGTGTGCTTAAACAATTGTTTCCAGTAACAGTTTAATTGTTCGTCTTGCATCAATGAATCTCCTTTATTTTCGTCCATAACTGTTCTTCCTATATTTATATTGAAATATTTACCGCGAAATTTTGCATTTATGACAATTTGTAAAGATCTTTAAGAGTAACACTTTTTAAGCTTCATGTGATGTGATAAATACGTCATACAAATAATAAAGTTTTGTGTTTAAATATTTGTTCATGTGGATATGAAAGACAGACTATAGGAAAGATGAAATTGAATAAGCAAATGTAGCTTCTGAGTAACGCGAAAGTATTAAATGCAATGTTGTTGATGAGAAATATAAACTCGAGACACTCAATGTTGTTGATGTTGTGGCTTCTCGTGTTATAAACGATAAGGAAATCCTTCTCACTAATGTTGCTTCATTCTATGGAAACTCTTTTAGTGTGCAGTCACTGCATGAATTTTTTATCTTATCAAAAAATACACAAAAGGTTCAACTTGAAAAATTGCATCAAGTAGAGTAATAAGAAAATTTAAGCAAATAAATCATGTGTATTGTGTAGAAACAAAGAAATAAGAATCGCATGTAGTTCCTTTCCATTGTTTAGCAAAAAGTTTTCAATTTTTCATTTGTGCGACATCACGAAACTTGTGTTTGGAAGCAATAAATAACATTATGGGATTGTAAACTTGAAAAATCTCAGTAAGAAGCTATTAATGACTGTTTTTGAGAAATTCTAAAATGCTTGTAATGCGCTCAAAAATGTCACTCGAATATTTTATCGCTTCTGAATTTCCGTCCGACCTTAAAGAATTTTATCGTTATTCGAGAATGCTTTAAGCATTTCAGAATTATTCTTGGAATTTTTATAATCCTATTAAAATATTTTTCCTACTTAATAAATAACACATTTTTTGATGATTAATGAAATTATTTTTATGTTTTCTTATAGATAACTAGTGTAACATCAATGTCCTATCTAGCACAACAGAATCTCACATTTCATCGGTTTTCAGACGGAACAATATCAAACGATGGAAAGAAGAATCCTCTCAATAATCCTGAATTATTGCCTGATACTCAAACACAATCAATATGGACAACAAATGCTTCACTAGACTATAATGCAACAAATATTCCACAAATGAATGAGAGTGCCACATCAACAACGAAAATACTTCCATCAACAATTGATGAGTCAATTGACAAGAATGATGGAGTCAAGCGATATTCTGCGTATTCTATTGGCAATAATTCAACATATAGCAGTACTGTAGGTAACAATACAACACATAATGGGTCAACAATGAAACTTATTCAAGTTAAAAAAGATGAATCTGACAGTTCGAGTAAACAGGTGAGCTTCACGTGCTAATTTTTCTTACCAAGGTTTACGCAACAAAAATATTAAAATTAAGTTTTTGCAAAATAATTCATGGCAATAAGTAAAATGATAAAAAAAACTTTTTAAAAAACACGCTTTTATCAAAAAGACTAAAAATCAAAAAGTTCAAAATAAAATAAGGTCACACTTTTAGCGAATCAGGATTTTAAAAATTTTCTTGTGACAACTAGAAATGTAACATAAATTTTTTTCAAAATATTGTGATTAAGTCCAAGAACACAATGACTCTATAAGCGTGGGGCGTAATTTAAGGATGCATTTCTTAGTTCAACTAAGTTCTTAAGTAAGAGAAGCGTCAAATCTCAAAGCCCCACGCTTTTCGAGTCATTGTGTTCTTGGACTTAATCACAATATTTTGAAAAAAATTTATGTTACATTTCTAGTTGTCACAAGAAAATTTTTAAAATCCTGATTCGCTAAAAGTGTGACCTTATTTTATTTTGAACTTTTTGATTTTTAGTCTTTTTGATAAAAGCGTGTTTTTTAAAAAGTTTTTTTTATCATTTTTTTATTTGCTCCTTTTTTGGTCGCTTCGTTTTTATTCTCAACAACAGACTTAACTTCAAGAAAAAAATGTTATTTGTTTTTTAGTCTTCGGGAAAAAAGCGTGTTTTTTAAAAAGTTTTTTTAACGTTTTTTTATTTGCTACTTTTTAGTCTCAATCTTTTAATCGAATTTCGACCACAACAATTCAAATTCAACTCCACTTCGTTTCGTTCAACTTTTAATATATTCCCATTTTTTAATGGGTAATTAGTAACGACTGTCAGGATTTTTCATTCGTTTTTATAATTTAAGTCATACCTGGAAGCACATAAAACTCTTCAAAAAAATGTCCTGAACTTCAATTATGTGCGCTTTCTGTGTTTTTTAAACCATTCATTAGTAAAGAACATTAAAAATCAATCGTAAAGATTTTGTGTTTATCCGTACCATTCCTATTACATAACGTGTGGATTCTTAACATAAAGATGCAAATCACATCTATATGTAACGTATTTATAACGGATTTTTCAAATTTAAATTCAATGAATGTCATTCATATGTTATGCAAAATTACGTTAAGCCGATAATAAATAGAAGTCAATTTAATTAAATTGGTGAAGTGCTATAAATATTGTAATACATTTGAAACAGCATAAGTTTATGCTCAAATTATGTGTGCTTAATGCACATCACATATTGATAGTTATTTTGCATTAATTCGTAACGGACTTGTGATTAACGGTTTTTTTTGAAAATTCAAATTTTCACTTACGGATATTCATGAAAAAATTACTTGTCAATTTTTTCATCCTCCCAGAAAATCTTCAGCTTCTCCAATTATTAGTATTATTAATAATTAGTAATATTAATTAAACTATAGTGAATCATATAAATGACTTTTGAGCATTTCAAGTATAATATTTTAAACAAATCAAAATTTTATATCATTGACATTGGATTTTTTTCCCATATAAAAAAGTTTTATTAAAATTGTACTATAATTAAGTATTTGTGTGGTTCTAAAGTGTTAAAATATTGTATTGTCACCGGGAATACGTGTGTATACAAAATTTGAGCTCGATTGGAGCAATAGAAGTGGTCGAAAAATCGATTGCAAGATTTGAACGTGACATACAAAGAAACCAACAGAGCAACTCAATAAAAAGCGTGTAATAAAAATCCTCAGAATATTATTCACATAATTTTAATTAGCAGTAAATCCTATTAGACAGATAATACCCTCAAGAATTATACTGTACATGAGTGTTGATGTAGAATTTATGAGGAATTAGTTAATTAGTACCTGTAGACATTTATTAAATGTTTAAAGACAAAATTCCTTCATACAGCAAGCAAAAGTTATTAAAATTGCATTAAAACTTTACTTACACTCAATTAGTTAAATTGTTTTACAATAAAATGAGCAACTGGAAATGAAAATTGGATACAATTATGTCACATGAATGGCAATGAATTTAAGGCAATTATAATCGAAATTTAAGTTGGCAATTATTTGATTCATTAAAATTTGTCACGAGGATGCTTTTCATTTTGTGTCATCAAACAATGCTGAATAATTTCATTAATTATATTTAATTGAAAAGTGTCCGGCATAAAATCATGGCAACTGTTTGAGTGTATGAAGAAAATCTCGTCTATAAGTTCATGTAGAGCACTCAATTGATTACCAATCTCAATTTTTTCATGAGCTTTTCAACGTGTGTGCTGTTATGCTCATGATGGTGCCATAATTGCTTTCAAATTAGCAACGTTCAGATCTTATCGCCCTTATTCATCAGAATTTTTTTATTTTTCATCGCTCGACTCATGACAGGAAATCCAATTTTCGCATTTATCGACAGGAAAAATATTTCAGAAATCGGATTTTTGTGCAAAATCATCAAATATGAAATCTTTCCTGTATTGATTTATCATCAATCAATTTTAATTTTGTGTTAATTTATGATAATTAAAGATCATGTTGAATTGCTCACATTCTGACTCATCCTTATTATTCCGCTTAATAGATTACATTTATTTATTTTGCGCTTGATGATGTGACCATCGATGAATTCCATTCAACGTTAAAATTCCTTTAAACATCATTAACTGATGAAAACATTTAAATAATAATCGGTTGTACGGCAACAAAACAGCACACAATACACACAAAATTTTAATTCCTCACGTTTTTTATTTCTTCTCAATTAATATTCGTGTACAGAACATTCTGGCTTGTAATTTTTATTATCTGATTGCAAAATTATCATGAAAAGTCAGTAATTACGATTTTATGGACAAAATGGAAAATTTTCATACGGAAATGCCTGAAATTAACCTTTAATTGTTATTTCTTTCCGTCTATTTACCATTCAAAGTGCCTTTTATGCCTTTCAATATGTCAAATTCAACTTTGTACTATCAAGAACGACTGAATATTAATTTTGGATACGAGGATAAATAACATTGAAGACTATTCACGTTGGGAATTTCAATTTACAACCTGTTTCTATCGTCTGCAAAAAAAAGTAAATAACAAAGTCATCAGTAAAACATTTTCTACATGCTCAAATTGCGTCATCATTTTAGCGGAATATATTCATATTCATAGCCGTTGCTGCTCTCTCGTTTTACTTCACTTTGTGACTTTACGATTGAATTGTAAGCTCTGTTTGATGTCATAACTACGAAAAAAATAACAACTTGCTAATCGCTTTTTAGTTGTGACTCAAAAATAAATAAATAAGAAACGAGATGTTTTCTCAACAAGACTCACTGTTAATGCCACTCCAATTTTCCTCTACATGTGATTTATTTGATGATGAGTGCTCTATTAGAAATCAAATAAAATGAAATGAACGGAACTTGTCTCGATTGGAAATAATGGTAAAGCACAAATTGTATTCATTTCATTTATTTGACATCAAATTATTTCGGTCATACACATGAATACAGCAGCTCATGCATGAATAGTCAATAAATTTTAATATTTAACTTTTTCAATTTGTTTCCATTTCCACAACGAACTTAAAGTTCCAACAAATTGTAACTTTTTTTTGGGTTCAGAACTGAAAATAATTCCTTCTTTTCAAGGACAGCACCCTAAAGTTTTTATTTTGTCGAGGTTGCATGCATTGCAAATTTATTTTCCTCGTTGTTCCTTCTGCTTTTCTTTGTTTGATCAATAGAACATACATTGCAGCAGAATGAAAAGAGACATTAAAGTTATTAAAGTTCCATTTTCCCTTGAAAATTCTAATGAACGGAAAAATCATTAAATTCACCCTTTTTTGTATCGTTTTGAGGATTCAACAAAAAATATGAATGAAAAATCGGTAATGTGAGAAGGATGAAGAGCACTCAATTTAATGAATTTGTCTGTGTTATTACCTTCGATGGAAATGAAATATGAGTTAAGAAAATTTTCATCGATGAAATTTCCATGACATCAAAAAAAGATTTAAAATTGAATGCTAATTTCGTCTTTATTTTATTTTATTAAATTTTGAAGCATTTGACTTGTCAGGAAATAAGAAAAATTTGAAAGAGAATGAAAACTAACACGAGAAATGAATTTAAAGTTTGAGGAACATGAAGAAGTGTGAGATTGTGAAAATAATATAGAATTGATTGTTTTTTTATGAATCATCTGTTACTCTATAATTGAGAGTGTTGGCTACTTATTTCTGACCAATTTTACTCATGCTGCTAACAGTTATTGTAACGTTCTATTCGTTTTATTCATTTACCTAACACAGCACATTCCCAATTCATTATCGCACATAATGATGCCAAAATCAGAAATTAGAATAATTTGTTTGATATCCAACTCATTCAATCACTTCAATTTACGGCTCGAGAAACTTTACGTGCTTGATTCATCATGATTTCATTTCAACTTGCTTGCATGCTTGCGGTTTCCTCAATTTTAAATATCTGAGTGATCGTATGGATGAATTGAATTGGAAATTGTAAACCTTAGAATTCTTATCAAATTACAGAACACCAATCGAATTTTTGTGTTTGTTCTCGAATGAAAACTTAACGCAAGTTTTTCTTTGTGGAGTAAAATCAATTTCACGCGCGTTAGACTTGAAACAACGAAAATATCCAAAACATCAAGAGTAGAAAATAAAATTCAATTGTTTGTGCTCACAAACGTGCTGCTACATACTTTACTTATGATTATTTTCAATACAAATTGTCACACATTAACTCAATTTTTTTAATGTATATAAAATGAATAATTCTGACATTGACAATGAAATTGACTGTACAAGGTGATAAGAGGAATTAAATATTCAATAATTCTGAATGTAAATCTCATTAAATGAGTCTTAGTACTTACTAGATTAATCACTTGAGTCAGCACTTCATTTATTATGCTGCAAAAATATTTCATTATTAATATCCCATCACTCAATTTGATATCCTCTTAAGTACCTCTGTCTGACATCCCAAAAACT